ATTCGAACCCGCCACCTTAGGTGTACGTGGCTGGCGCCTTAGCGGGTTGAGCTATAGGCGCCGAGCCTAATTACTTTTTCTAATACAGTTTAAAAAATCTCTAATTGTGTTATTTAACCAGGCATAGAATCCACACATAGTAATTCACCACACTATCATTACTTCATGAAGCAAAACATATCACACTTTATTTGTTCACTCATTTTTAGAGTCAGGGTCTTGCTCTGTCACACAGGCTAGAGAGCAATGGCACTATCATAGCTCACTGCAACCTCAAATTCCCGGACTCAAGCGATCCTTCCACTTGGGCCTTCCAAAGTGCTGAGACTACAGGTGTCAACCACTTTGCCCAACCCCTTGCAATATTTTTTTTTTTCTTTTTGAGACAGAGTTTCACTATGTCGCCCTCAGTGGAGTGAGGTGGCATCACAGCTCACAGCAACCTCAAACTCTCGGGCTTAAATGATTCTCTTGCTTCACCCTCACAAGTAGTTGGAACTACAGGTGCCCACCACAACGCCCGGCTATTTTTTTATTGTGGTTGTCATGGTTGTTTAGCAGGCCCAGGCCAGGTTCGAACCTGCCAGCCTGAGTGTATATGGCTGGTGCCCTAACCACTGAGCACCCCCTGCAATATTTAATGACGAAACAGGAACTTTCGTCAATGTAGAATGTCCCATAATCTGGATTTGTATCTTCATGGTACGTTGTGGAACATGCGCCTCTAACTCCTCCATTTCCTAGGTGGCCGGGAGCTCACACACATGAGGGGCTGCATGTGCTCATCACTGCCGAGACGGAAACGGCTCCAAGTGTGGGCGTGTGCACTGTGCTACGGGCTGGGAGCGAGATGAAGAACTTCAGCCAAGATATAAACCAACCGAGCCCTTAAACAAGCTGTTGGGTCCAACTGTTGTTTTCCTGTAACAAAGTGTTCTGGAGTAAGGCAGAAATGAGTACCAGACCCTCATCTCCTGGGGGATGCGCCCACAGTCCAGACCAGCAGGCCCAGTGCACACACCACATGACAGCAGCACTGCCCAAGATCCTGCAGAATGGGGTTATTCCAGCTTCAAGTATTAATTAGCTGGAATTCGTCTATAAGAAAGATCACACATCCCCAACCACCTGGTTAGCCTGAGGTATAGAGTCCACTAAAGGAAAGGCGGGCTAAATACCTCATCATTTCTGTCAAAATAATGAGGTGACTCTTTTGCATCCTATAAAAATGACCAACAAAGTGTTCTGTTTAGCATCATTATTACATCACAGACTAAGCACTTCTGATGATTGGGTCATTTAAGGTCAGATTTCCCACCAGAGGCTTCCTGATCTAGCCATGCAGACCCCACAACCTTCCTGGGCTCCTCGTTCTCTAGTAGACAGGACTGCACACCCATCCTGCAGGGTGTCCCCCAGGCCTAGAACCAACCACCCTGCCAAGAGATTGTGCTCCTCAGTGAGGAGTGGTATCTGGTGTCCTGGGCTGTTCACTGCCATACCATCGGGCATGGTTGCTAAAACTTGTCAGTGGCCAGGAGTTAGAAGCTGAATACTTAATGTAAAGATGAAACATCTGGGCCACGTGCACTGGCTCACACCTATCATCCTAGCATTCTGGGGAGGCTAAAGCAGGTGGCCTGTTTGAGCTCAGGAATTTGAACTGAGGCAACTGTTGTGGCAGCTACTTGAGCAGCTGAGGCAGGAGAGTTTCACTTGAGCCTAAGAGTTTGAGGTTGCTGTGAGCAGTGATGCCAGAGCATGCTTCCAAGGGCAACAACATGAGACTTCATCTCAAAAAAAGATAAAACATCTCATGAGGACACAGTGATGCTTATGAGATAATTCTAAATACTGGTATTTTCTCTTCTTTAATATTTCTGTAACCTGCTTTTTTCCTATACCCTTTTATTTCCTATCTCCCACCCGCTCAAGATTCTGAAATGAATGCATCATACATTCATGACTTTCCTGAAGAGCAAAAATGAAAACACTTCATGTCCTCTGCCAATGTTACTTAACATCTTCTCTAATATTATATAATATTGCATCTGTTTTAGATGTAGATCTTAGTAATATACACATTGATCCCTGCTCCTTTAGAGTATTAAGGAGATCTATTTCTTTCAAGTACTGAATACATGTTTATCACTAATATCAACAAAAACAACATCTTTTTCAATCTCAAATAAGAATCATTAGGCCCCAACACCTGTAATTTGAGGTTAACAGGGCAAAACTGGTATTAACAACAAACTCAGAAAGCGCACCTAAGTCAATGTTACTATGTCCCATCACAGCAATGGTTTTCAACCTTCTTAATGCCATGACCCTTTAATACAGATCCTGTGGGTCGTGACCCACAGGTTGAGAACCACTGCATCATGGAACCTGAGAGTGACCGATTAAGGTTAACCATTACAACTTAGTTGATAAGTAATAAAACAGTTTTTTTTTTTTTTTTTTGAGACAGAGCCTGGGTAGAGTGCTGTGGCATCACAGCTCACAGCAACCTTCAACTCCTGGGCTCAAGCGAGTCTCCTGCCTCTGCCTCCCAAGTAGCTGGG